GCAGGTATCTGGGCAGCCTCAGCCAAGGTCATGGTGGCAGGGTGGAGAGAAGAGGGTAGAGTGAGTGATATTAAAGAGGACAAAACAGCAGGACTGATGGAGGGGGGCTGGAAGTGGGGGTGATGGTGAGAAGGCAGGGCCAGCCATCTCAAGGATTAGGGTCCTGCCAGAACTTTCCTCCCCTCCCCTCCCCAGCCCATTCATCCACTGCTGAGATGCCAGGGAAGTCACACGTGCTGCCACGGTCAGGATGATTAACTATTAATTGTGGAAAGGAAATTGCATATACACATGTGGGAAACGCTTCAGAACACTTCAGGCTCCAGCTGGCTCCACAGGTGCTGTGGGAGGAGAGGGGAATGGTGAGTTCGAGGAGGAAGGAACGAAAGGGGGGAGATGCTCTCAATGAGATGGAGATTTCTTTTCGATAAAAGTGCAAGTGCAAGAAAAGTTTGCCCCAAGGTGCAGCTAGAGAAAAAGAACAGGATCCTAAGTCTTCATTTTGGAGGCAGCTCCCTGAGTGGCTGGTAATTTTTCTTCTTGAAGGTGAAGTGTTTGCAGTCCCTGCTCCAAAAGTTGGACCCCATGTTCTATTTCGTGGAGACTTTGGCTTTTGTGAAACGGGATCTGTGCGAGTCCTTCACCCAGGAGACCAGGCTAAGCTGCACTCTTGGCCACACTTCCTAGGCCCTGGTTCCAGTTTGGGGGACTAGGAGAGGGCTGGGGAACTGATGGAGGTTGAGAACACACAGCGGGTGAGGCAAAGGGATGGACTGCTATTCCCAACAGCCCTTGAAAGAGAGGATGGGAAGGGGAGTGCTGGCGAAACAGCTAACCCTTGGCCTCTGCTTTCTCACTCAGCATCCTCAGGCCTGGAGTTCCCACTCTTGTCTGACTCCAGGGGAAGAGGAGGAGGAGGAGCTACTGATTGTGCATGTTTCCAAGACCTGCTCAGCCAAAGCAGAGGCCATGAATCTGGAAAACAGAAGTCCTTGGCTGACCACAGCCACACCTGTCTCCACCCACACACACGTGGGGCCACTCCATTTGTTTCTCCAGAATATTGTGCACATTGAACCTGACATCCAAGGAAAGGGGACCAGGGAGCTGGAGTTAGCTGGAGAATTCCAGTGCTCCATGCTTTGGCCTTTTCTCTACCAAAGTGGCAGGAGAATCTGGAAAGAGTCAAACTAAATGTCCTTGTCACTATTTTCAGAAGATACTCAAGGAAATCTCATCTTCAATCTAAAAACCTCTCCACCCAATCACCAGGAAGGCCACAAGGTCAAAAGCAGCCTTTCTGCTCATACTCTGCCCCTTCTGCCCCCTTACTGAGCACCAAGAATAACTTCCTGCTGGGGGTGAGGGTGAGTAAAAAAAGATTTAATTACAGTTTCTGTTTCTGACCTCACTCCCCCTCCCCCAGGAGCCACCATGTTGCCCTACCTGGCTGTAGTGTCAATGAAAGGGCACTGGCCTGGCTGACACAACCGCAGGCCAAGGTGCCACCCAGAAAGCCTTGGAATTGGAGGGTCCTCTCCACTGCCAACCTCACCCATTCTCACAGCAATCCCTGAGCAATCTCTGGGACTACCAGAAAAGTTGGTCTTGGGGTACCTTCTTAAGGCAGGATGAAAGAAGATTCCAAATCTTTGAAAGAGAGGGTAATTCCAACCCCAACCCCAGATATCTCCAGGACAGCATTGTCTCCTCCAGTTTCCAAATTTCACCCAGTACCTCCCACTCCTGCCCCACTCCCACCCATTCTTGCTGCTCTGGCTGTCCACCAGGATTGTTTCATGCTTTGTGCTTTTTACATACAATGCTCAACAGCATCCAATGGGGCAGCACATTGTGTGGTCTGCCCTCATTGTTGATAAGCCCTGGGCACACAACTTCTCTGGGTCCTCCATCACTCTGACCCACCCACCCTTACCTCAAGCTTCCAGAGGAAAATTTTTTTAAAATCCAGTATTCACCAAGCAAGTATTCTGCAAGTCCATCTCTGCTCTGAGCCAGCCGTTAACTATCCTCTTAAACTCTGATAAGCAGGCGAGGAGGGCCCTTCCTCCCACCCCCCGCATAAAGCACCCAAAACTCATCAGAGACCCCTTTCAATATGGTCATCAGATGTTTCTGAAAGCCAGTGCTGAGCCAGGAGGGGCATCTATCTATAGATCTATCTATAGGTGAAAACTGTTTTTTCTGGTTTGGGACCTCACCCACCGGGATTCCGTTAGCTGCCTTTGTTGTCCAAGAATTTGAGTTAGGAATCCTTCCAGGAGGTAGGAGGGGTGATTAAAACGAAGAAGAGAATAAAAGCTTTTAGACATGGTCCATCCGTGCCAAAAACTGCTTCGGAGACTTACAAGTGCTCACAGGACCATCAAAGGGAAGCCGGCGCCGATAACTCTGTTTGTTGACTCGGTGAAATCCTCCATCTCAGGGTTATTGCCATTGAAAACATCTCCTCTATCTGGAATCTTTTCTACACCAAGTGCACAATTGCTTCATTCATCTCCTCAGAGGAATCTGTCACCAAATCCACAAGCTGCCTCCGCCAGCAGGCGCGGCAGGATACCAACTTGCCCGGGCCTCCGCCCACTGGGATGAGCCAAGGATGCAGTGCCTGTGTTAATAAAGCCCCAGATGTCTCTCCCACCTTGTGGGCAGCATCCTCTGCTTCCCCCCAACCTGATCCCAGCCCCCCCCACACACACACACACACCCTCATAAAGAATCAAGGCAAGGGGAGAGGGATGGAAGCAGGAATTTCCATCTCAATCAATATTCAGGGAGATTCACATAGACATAAACAGGCTCCTGCACTCAAGAAAGGGAAACTAACCTGATAGTGTGCCTTCTATGTGCCACACGCATGCTTTGTCACGCATTTGATCTTTACAACAACCCAATGAGGTTGGTCGTTTATGGAGTAGGACTTGAAAGCCAGTTCCACCAGCTGATGGCAAGCATGTGGGCAAAGGGCTAAGAATCTGAGCTTTGTGTCACCTGTCTCCACTGAGTACACCCCCTACCCACCTCCCAGCCCGTGGAGAGGGAAACCAAGTGCAGCAAGTAAGCCTAAGTGCTTTGTAACATGGAAAGCACTATCCAAATGTTAATGGACCGTGACGTCCTCAAGGTAGCAGGATCTTCTCCTTCATCTTTGTGTCCCCGGCACCCAGATCAGTGGCTGGAACATAATCAGCCCTCTATTGATGTGGGAGTGAAATGAAGCAGTGCCCACACCCCTCCCCATGGAGGGCAGAGGGGAGAGCTCCCCGTGGTCTGGATGGGGTAGGGGTTGGGATGAATGGAGGGAAACCAGGATTCACGAGGCAGACCACCCTGAGCAAAGAATGAGCACATGGTCCTGGAAGTGGGAAGCAGATAAGCACCCCCACCCAAGTCTAGTCGGTAAGATCAGCCAAATCCATTGAAGTCTTGCAAGAAGAGCCTTGTGACCCTCTCACAAGAGGTGAGAGTTGAACTGATGCCCAAAGCTCTCCTCACTTTAAAGGGAGAGCTGAGTCCATGCATATATGGAGTTGGGCAGGCAGAGGAGTGATGCCTGCCTGGTGCCAGTCTTGAGAAACCCAGGGGCCCCTGACAGAAGGGAAGACCCTGACACCTGGGCTTGATTAATCTAAGAATAAAAAGGAGCAGGTGCTCTGGGCAGGCTTTGGTTGAGGGAGGGAGGCAGAGAAAAACAGAAAGGCAAGTTTTAGGGGCTCCTTCAGGAAACCCCCACAGACCCACATTGGCCTTGTAGGGAGGGCGTCTGTCTCCTGCTCCAGGCACAAACATTACTGTCACCTCGCTGGAAGCCTCCTCTGCCCCTTGCCAAGCAGGATCTTTGGATCCCGAGGGGATCTACCTGGAACCATTTTATGGCACTCCCTGCATTCTGCCTTTTGTTGCAGACATTTGCATTTCCATCCCCTGTTCCTTATGGAACTAGGTCTTATTATTCTCATGTCCCTCTCAGCAGCTACCACAGTGCCCAGAGCCTGGCAAGTGCTCCACAGACACACGTGAAGAAACAAAGGTGGGCACAGGCCAGGAAGCGGACAAAGAGAAAAAAGGAAGATCAGAATAACCCGCTTAACCAATTGCCCCCTGCCATCCACCGCTGACCCCAGGCCCCAACATGGTCCACTGGGGTGACAGACACATTTGGTGGGGGCAGGTAGTGGGCAAGGGATCAGATCAGACAGGACAGAGGGAGGCTCCCACTCCTCAAGGTTGGCTGTCTCCCGCCAGGGCAGGAAGTGCGCCTGCCGACATTGCATCTGCACAGCCATAATTGAGCTTCCTTCTCTAAAGTGATTTGTGTGTCAAAAATGCGCCAAGACTGTAAATCAGGTGGTAGGAAGTGCTGTCTCCTGTTTTCCTCCCCAACCAGAGGGAGACAGACTGTACTGCCACGGGGCTCCCAAACCTGGAAAACTGCCTCTGATGTAAGAGACTTTGCACAGGCACTACCATGGACCTGTGCTGGGGAGCTGGGCTCCTGGCTCTCCCTCCCTGGCTCAGCCACCTGGACCCTGGCTCCGGGGCTGAGCCGGTGGGGGACCTGAAAGCCAGGTGCCTAACAAGCCTTGGTGTTCAATAGCAGCTGCTGGAACAGCTCCTCCCAGGAGGCACCAAGGGGAATTTTCCACTGCCCACTTAGATTTAGCTCTCCCTGCCTGCACTGCTGCCTTGACTGTTCACAGCAAGAAGAGCAGGAAGGTGGGGGCCCACACAGAGGCCCTCCAAGAGGGCCACAGCTGGCCTAGAGGCATCTGTGTGTGTGTCGGGGGGGGGGGGGTGGAGAGACAGAGAGGCTGGCCAGGCTTGAGAAGTAGGTTTTGTTTGTTTTCACTGTGCCCCAGCTCGACCTCACTATTCTCTGAGCCTGGAATGCTGGGGTGTGCGGAGGTGCCGTGGGTGGAACCAAGACCTCCTTTGGGGTTGGGAGGAGAGGATCAGGGCACTAGTTACTGGGAGCAGGGACAAAAGCCAATGAGTCGCCTCCCTCCCTGGGTCCCTCCCTTTCTCGGGAGGTCTGAGAGATGCCCAGCGTGGGTGAGTGCTCCCTTCCACCTTCCCTCCCTGCCTCTGCTCCTCCCCTCCCCGGAACCACCGCCCCCTCAGCCCTGAGCTGCTGATGCCCTCTGGGTTCTGTTTTCATTCCAGGCTGTGGATCCGGTCGTGGGAAGCAGGTAGGAAACCATGATTCTGGGGGTTAAATGAAGAATTATATTTAGTGCTCACAGAAAGCCAAATATTGGGTTAGCAGCCAGGAATGGAGAGGGAAAAAACCCAAAGCAAACAGCAGAAGGAAGAAATTCCTACCAAACAAGGTCCCTATTCATTCTTCCAATCCCAGGTGCAGGGGCCTGCAGGGCTGAGACCCGCTGAACATGAGCAGCCTGCCCTGTGTTCAGAGCTGTGGAGAAACATGTGGACCCGAGACTTTGATGAGACCCCAAACTCAGAGCTTCCACTGTCTGTCCCCATGGGACCAAGGGGCACTCAGCCCTCCCCACAAAGGTTGTCAATATCTTTACTCAAAATAGTACCCAGTGTTGGCCCTAATGCCCCTTGAAAGCAAGGGCTGGGCTGGGAGGGGGAGCACAGGGAAATGTTCCTGGTTTGACCTTGAATAAGTGATTTAACTGCCCTGGGCCTCCTGTATGGAATGCAGGGTTGGATTATGATTTCACAGGTCCTGACATCCTATTATTTTGTTTCTGCCTAAAATAAACAACGAGAAAAAGAGTGTGAGCGAGACTATGACAGCAGGACCCATCTGTTTCCGAAAGAGCTTAGGGCAAGCTCTAGAGAGAGAAAGTGATGTTTCAGCTTGTGCCCCACGCTCAGCTTCCTGCGCCTTGGCCATCCACAAAGCTAACTTCTAGGATCTGAGCTGACTCCTCTGGAGACCCCAGACTCCAGTAATGGGCTTCTGGAACCTGCTCAGGCTGCTATAAGTCCAATAACAGCCTGGGCATGGGGAGGGCTACAACACCCAGCCTGACTAACTGGGAAGCTGAGGAGACTGGAAGTTCGTGAGAGACAGCTTGAGAGTAAGTGGAGAAAGAGAACAGAGCGAAGAAACATGGCTGGCCTCCCAAACAACTGCATGATCTCAGAGAAGACAAAGCTTGTCTTCCTGACTCCAAGACTCATTTGTATCCAGCCACTGGACTCTCTAATTATCTGCCTTTCCTATGGGGGAGATCTACAGTAGGAGGCTGGATCCCAGGTAGTGAAGGACCTCTAGAAGTAGAAGTTGCTAGTCAGGGGGATAAATGACTGAGATCTGACCAACCAGAAGAAAAGAAAGACTGGAATTCCTTGCTCCTGGGTCTGTCTGTCTTTTTCTATGGGTCTCTATTTATTTCTTGGGTACTTAACATGCTCTGCTTTCCACCTCCTAGTTTTCTCAAAGAGACCCAGGCTGGTAAAATCTGGGCACCCACTGCCACTCTGGACTAGCATTTCCTGCACGCTGATGAATGCCCGCTCCAAAAAGTCTCAGCACAAGGTTGGCCCTGTCTACCAGACCATCCCCTGCCCATCCCTGTCTCCCCAAGCTCTAGCCCTCATCAACAGGGACTCAAAAACCTGCCTCTGTCAAGTGAGTCATGGGACCAGAACCTTGGGAGAAGACATGCAGAGCCAGCCACTCAAAAAATTGTGAAATAAAATGAATTCCCGCCAACCTGCTCCTTCCCTTGGGTTCCTTAAGCTCGGCAGGTTGCACCACCTTCCACCAGTTTTCCAGAAACTAAAAGTCATCCTTGACACTCATCCAATCTGCCACTTCCTATTTATCTCCCAAATTTATCCCTACAATCTCACCATCCCCACTATCACTTGCCATCCTGGGGCCTTTTGCATATCTTGCCTAAATTACTGAAATTTCCTCCCAGCTGGTAATCCTGGATTTGTATGGCCCTTCTTCATTCCATCCTCTCCAGTTTAGCCAGAGATATATTTCTAAAATGCATATGTGTGAAATCATTTCACTTGCCTGCCTGCATTTTTCATTATCCATTCACTACCTATAAGACGAAGTCTGAGTTCACGAGTGAGAATGCAAAGCTCTCTGTCAGCTCAACCCAGCCTGTCTGCCACCATTTCCCTGGTCTCCAGCCAGAACAGTGACAGTTCTCTAAACAGGTTCTGCTGGACTTCCATCAATATGGAGTGGTGAAACTGGTGCAGCCACTATAGAAAAATGTATGGTGGTTCCTCAAAAATTTAAAAATAGAACTACCAGATGACCCAATAATTCCACCTCTGAGTATGATCTTAAGTCATTATCTCAAGAAGATATCTGTAACCCCATGTTCATTGCAGTATTATTTACAATAACCAAGACATGCAAACAGCCAAAGTGTCCACCAATGGATGAATGGATAAAGAAGCCATGAGATATATACAGAGGGAGCCAAAAAAAATGTATACACATTTTAAGAAAGGAAAAAACTGTATTAAAATTGTAATAGTATATACCAATAACAAAAGATGAATACAAGTCATGTGTATGCATTTTTTGACACCCCAGTATATATCCATATATAGATATAGATATAGATATCTATATCTATATCTATATCTATATCTATATATATATATATTCATTCAATGGAATATTATTCACCTGTAAAAAAGAAAGAAATTCTGCCATTTGCAACAACTAAGTGTGGCCATATGACTAAATTCTCACCTTTAATTATGAGCAGAAGTGGTATGCTACTTTTCCATCACTTGTTGTAGTAGTTCCCTAGGGCTGCTGTAGCAAAGTACCACAAAACAGGGTGACTTAAGCAACAGAAATTTACTCTCACACAGTTCTGGAGGCTAGAAGTCTGAGATCAAGGTGTCCTCAGGATTGGTTCCTTCTCAGGGTTATGAGGGAAAATTTGTTCCATACCTTTCTCCTAGCTTCTCATAGTTGCTGGCAATCTTGTGGTATTCATTGGCTGATATCTGTCTTCCTATTCATGTGACATTCTCCCCAGAGTATGTCTATGTCCAAATTTCCCCTTTTTATAAGGACAATAGTCACACTGGATTAAGGGCCCACCATATTCCAGTATCACTTCATGTTAACTAATTATATCCACAATGACATTATTTCCAAATAAGGTCACATTCTAAAGTACTGGGGTTAGGACTTATATAAATTTGGGGGACACCATACTTGCTTAAAAGGTAATTGCTTGCCCTCCACTTTCTATTTCCCCCTTCCCATGGGCTGGACCACAGACATAGAGCTGAGTCACCTTTGGCCATGTCGATGAAGACCTTAGGAGATAGCAGGGACACAAAATGGAAATATCTTGAGTCTCCAAATGACTATGTGGAGGAGATCTGCCCCACCAGCCTGGACCACTCATTTCCAGACTATGCATGAGAAACACGCTGCCATCTTATTTAAGCAACTGTATTGGGGTAGGTTTTTTGTTATAGGAGCTTACCTTTTACCCTTACAAACATAGCTACCCAACTCACTTTATAAGAATTTTAACTTTAATACCAAAACCCAAAAAGAACAAGGAAAAAAACTATAAAGCAATACCATTTATGATCATAGATACAGAACTTCTAAATAAAATACTACCAAATTAAATTTAGGAAACTGTACATATAAACTAAAACACAACCTAGTTGTGTTTATGTCAGTCATTCGAAGATGGAAAGATTCAACATAAGAAAATCTATTAAAGCATACTACTTGAACAGATTAAAGAAGACAACCCCACTTAATCAAGACAGTAAATTCAGAAAAAAATTTTGTTAAAATTAAATACTCATACAATTGGATATGTAAACATGGAGTGTATGGTTAACAATGTGAAGGAATTATTGTTGAAATTGTTTGATATGGCACTATGGTTATTTTCCTTTTTTTAAAGAATTCTTATCTTTTAGGGATACATACTGACATAGTTACAGATAACATGATGTAATATCTGCCATTTGTTTCAAATAACACAGAAAGGGGGAGAATTTAGCTGGGGTATAGATAAAACAACATTGACAATGAGTTAACAGTCACTGAGACTGTGTAATGGTTTATTATACAAGGCTGCTTACTTTTGTGTGTGTGTTAATTGTCCTATAATAAAGAGTTGAGAAAATTCAAACTCATGACTTAAAAAAAAAAAGGAACTGAAGTCAATGACCTTAACGTGGCCACTATGCTGTACACCTAAAACTAATATAAAATAATATTGAATGTCAATGGTAATTGAAAAATAAAACTTATGTTCTCTGTAAAACAAACAAACAAAAAAAACCAGAATAAAATTACTTTTTTAAAAAATTGAGGGTTGGGGGTAGAGAAAAAATTATCCTTATTTGCAGATAACATGATAGTATATATTAAAAAAACTGGCAAACTATTAAAACTAGTAGTAAAGCTCAGCAAGGAAATCTACTAGGAAAGAAAAACATGATGTTTATAGTCACAACAAAAATAATCCAGTATCCAGGAATAAATCTAATGAAAAATGTGCTTTCTGAAGAAAATTACAAAACATTATTATTAAAGAACCTAGGTGAAGACTTGAATAAATGGATAATATATCATGTTTATGGACAAGAAGATTCATTAAAAAAAATCAATTGTACCAATATTAATATATTAATATAATACAATTCCAATCAAAATCCCAACCAGTTGGGTGGTTTTTTTTTTTAAACTTGACAAACTTATGCTAAAATTCACCTGAAAGGTCAAGTGTCAAAAAAAGCTAAGACAATTTTAAAGAACAAGGGAACCGAACTTGTCCTACCAGATGTCATAACTTTTTCTAAATCTTTAATAGTTAATTCAATAAGATAACTGATGAGGAATAGACAACAGGCCAATGAAACAGAATAAAGATCCCAGAAACCCACATATCTTTGGAAATTTGATATATGACAGATGAGATATCCCTAAACATCAGTAAGGAAAGAATGAATTATTTTGTAAATTGCACTAGGATATTCACTGGGGGGGAAAATCAAATGTCTATTTCACACCATATAGAAAACATAAATTCCAGGTGTTCAAAAGACATAAATATAAAAATGAAAACTTTAAAACTTTCAGAAGAAGACATAAAAGAAAAAAATATATAAGAAGATATCTTTATGACCTCAGTATTGAAAAGGAGTACTTAAAACACAAAAGCCTAATCCCTAAAGGAAGAGGTTGCTAAACTCAACTATAATAGAATGTAAAACTTCAGTTTAAATAAGATATAACTTCTAAAAATTTAAAGACAAGGACCAGGAGAAGATATGTGGAACATATGTAATGACAAAGAGATTAGGATCCATATTTTATAAGGACTTCTTAAATATCAATTTAAGAGAGTTTTCAGTTCCAACAAGATGAAGTGAGCATGACATCTTGTCTCTCCTATTAAATGCAACTATAAATCCCACACAGACTGTACAGAGCAGCCAGCTGTTTGAGGACAATGAAAACTAAATGGTAATCAGTGGCCTGGGGAAAGGTACCAGAATTCAAGGTTTTACCCAACCAGTGGTGAGATTACCATTTTTTCCCCTTCAGTATTATCTGGCCTGAAGGAAGCCAGAAACCCAGAAGTACATACACGATGACAACAGAAGGAGCTCCAAGAGAAAACTTTTTCTGAGCTGAGGAAGGGGAAAGGGGACCAACAGTGTCAGAAAGAGTTCCGTATTTTGTGTTTTAGTTTTTTCTCTTTTTTTGCTCTGTCCCGCAGGCAGTAACAAATTGGAGGCATGATATTGGCAGGTACCAAAACCCAGAAAGACACAGAGGAGCTGTGGTCTCCAGACTTGGGGGCAAAGTCCCATTGTTTGTAACTCTCTAATTTGAATGACTGCAGATTTCTCATCAGAAACCATGGAGGCCAGAAGGAGGAGGAACAACAGTTTTAAAGTGCTAAAAGGAAAAATCTGTGAACCAAGAATCAGTGCATATCTGTATCTAATTTAATGCAATCAAAACACCTTTTCTGGCAGCAATGGACAAACTGATCCTGAAATTGATATAGAATTGCAAGGGACCCCTAATAGCCAAATCAATTTTGAAAAAGAGGAACAAATTTGGAGGACTCATACTTCCCGATTTCGAAACTTACTACAGAGCCGGCTGAGTGGCGCATTGGTTAGGAGTTGGCTTGGGGGCCAGCCAAGTGGCGCGTTGGTTAAGAGCTGGCTTGGGACGCCAGAGGGCCCTGGTTCAGATCCCACATATGAGGGCCAATAACACTGCCCTCTACAGCTAAGATGCTGAACAACAGCTCAACCTGGAGCTGGGCTGCCATAAGTCGCCCGTGGGTGCGTAGGCTGCAGTCCCTGCTGCAGTGGGTTGCCATGGGCTACCATGTGTAGCCAGCAGCCAGCATGAGCGGTCCTCAAGCAGCAGTGAGCGGCCGTCCAGAAGCCAGCGATTGATCTGCCTCGCCCGGGAAGAGTGTAATGATGGTGCCAACTTGGGCCAGTGAAGCGACGTCCTCCACAACTGGACTGAAGAACAAATGACAGCAACTTGCCTGTTCCCCTCCCCTAATTCCCCAATAAAATCTTAAAAAAAAAAAAAAACTTACTACAAAGCCACAAATCAAAACAGTATGGTACTGGCATAAGAATAAACATATAGATCAAAGGAATAGAACTGACAGTCCAGAAATAAACTCATATATCTATAATCAATTGATTTTTTACAAGAGTGGCAAGACCATTCAATGGGGGAAAATAGTCTTCACCAAGTGGTACTGGAACAACTAAATAACCAGATACACACACACACACACACACACACACACACACACACACACACACAAAATGAACTTGGGCCTTTACCTCACATCATATTCAAAAATTAATTCAAAATGGGTCAAAGACCTAAATATAAGAGCTAAAACAACAAACCTCTTAGAATAAAATGTAAATATCTCTGTAATCTTAGATTTGGTAATGGAGTTTTAGATATGACACAAAATGCACAAGCAACAAGATTAAACATAGATAAATTAGACTTTATCAACATTAAAAACTTTTGTGTAGAGAGGTTAGGTTGCTTTTTCAAGTTCAGCAAGCAGGCTTTGAACTGATCCTTGAAGGCTGGGAAAGATCTGGACGTTTGGCAAAGGGAGGGTTGTGTGATAGGCAGGGGAACAGCTCAGGCAAAGGTATGGTGGTGGGCCGGTATGCAGAATGCTATGAAAGGAGGTGAGGCCAGGTGGTGAGGGCCCAGCACACTGGATCCCGACTGCCCAAGGGCGAGTGGAGGCTTACTGGGCCCCTCCGCAGCAGCAAGGAGGCTGTTCAGTGTTTGCTGGAGAGATTTTGAGGCTGGTCAGGAGGGACTGAGAGGACC